ATGAACACAAGAAGTTCAAACCAGGGAAAAAACAAAATAACAAATGGGGGGATGAAAGAAATAAATACTGAGACAACACTGAGTTGTCATGCAGAATATAACTAAATAAATTACTGAAATACTTCACTGGAATACTGAGAACACTAGGTGATTCTGAAGTGTAAACACAAGTTCTATACTGCTCATATGTTGCACACACAACAAGGAAAAACACTAAGTACTTACTTCAAGTGTATAAAAAGACACACAACACAACAGACATAAGATAATGCACGAAAATTAACACTGAATTAAGGAGATTATCAAATTATTGCAATCAGTATATAATAAACACTGAGTCTGAACACGAGTCACTGAATGTCACTAAGAAAATCACTGGAACACAAAAGAAATGTCTCAACACTCGCAAATGTCTCTATGAAAAATATTATCGCTGTAACGACTTGGTGAAGAATAAGGTTGATGGTAGTGGAGAGTGGAGGAGACTGGTTGCTGACTACGATCACTGACCTCTCCACACTCGAAGAATTTGTGCTTAAATCGATGATAGACTTCACACAGGAGGCTTTTAACGGTGGCGCCACTGTCGAAGACACACTCTAGCTCTTGACCCCCTATGTGGTCCTTAAAATATGGTGCTATAACCCCTAGTAGTTTACCAAACACAGTGGTAGTGGTTGAGTTTGTGGGTAAACAGGGCTAAGGTGTCTGAGGCCTCGTGGTGAGTTAGTGGGGTTAGCAGGGCTAAGACCGAGACCGCGTGGTGAGACACACGTGGTCGTGGGCCTCACTGATGACACCCACACTGGCGCAAAGATATTCTAAGCCGGCTGGCTTAAAATACACCCACGAAATACCACAACACCACAGGGATGAAAGAGAGCACTCAGAATGGCTTGGAGATTGAATCACAAGCGATAAAGACTTGGCTTACTTGAGTACTGGGGCAAGACACCTGGGTTAGTTGCTAGCTGGCTTATCTTAACCCTTCACACAGAATAGCTTGATACTTCTCACAATGAGAACAGCAGGGGTGGAAGCTGGCTTGGCAAGCAAAGGAACTGGATGGAGTAGACTAGGCTGGACTGGACTCCCTCACCACAGATTGGAAGCTGGCTTATTTTGCAAACTCGGGTCAACCCCTCGGGAGTGATGCAAATAAGCAGATAACACTAATACAAAGAGACTGACCCGTGAATAATGTAGTAGCTGGTAGAAACTTGAGAGAGTAGCTGACTTGAGGTAGCAGGCTTGGCTAGGTCGGCCTATTGGCGACACGAAATGGCCGTCTTGCTGGTCGAAAGAAATCTCCGTACATCGGCGTAATTATCAATTTTACGCCCACACCGCTGCCACCATTTATCGTAGGGGTTCTTAAATGGAGATATCGAGGGTTGAAGGTAGACACACTTGTTGGATGGTAACGATAGTATTGTCAGACTGTGATGATGGGAGGTGGAGCCCAGCCTTCTGCCTTGTCCTAGCCTATGTCAAACACCGACTGAGAGAGTGGCAGAGGTACGAATGTACACATGTGCATCCCGTGATGTCACACAAACAGTCACAGGCCTAGGGATCTCCTATCTAAAGCACATGGATGATACTAATATGTTATACAACACAGGGATCAGCAACTATGCTGACATGAGTTGCGTATGCTACCAACCGAGCCAATGGATACCACATTTCAGCCTTTCTTTTGCAGTTTCACTCGTGTTTCATTGTGTCAGTTGTTTTACAGTTTACAGTCTGTTGAATAATTATTCATGTTTCACATTGTTCCATGTAATATTACACGTGTTTCAGTGTGTCACTTTTAATATTAAACATGTTTCAGTTAGTTGTATGTAATATTTAACAAGTTTCAATTATGCCACTTACAATTTTATGTATATTTGAATAATGTCTTATATTTTCAGCTGGTGTGTCCTTTACAAAATTTTTAGGAGCGTCTTCAGCAGGAGGACTTTTAACTGCATAGCCTGCAGAAGCTTCAAGTGCATAGTAAGCAGCATTATCTACGTGAGTATCAGAAGCAACGTTAGTAGCATCGTCTGCAGCATTAGCTGCAGAAATATAAGAAGCACTTTCAGCAGAATTATCTCGGCGAGTATCAGTAGATCCACTAGCAGAATTATTAATAGAAGTATCAGGAGATCCACTAGCAGAATTATCAATAGAAGTATCAGGAGATCCGGCACATTATTTATTTCATCACAAGATATCCCATCTAATGTGCCATGGCTTTAATATCAAAGGAGGAAAATAATGGATTCAGAATTATTAAAGCTTTAAATCAGTGTGGCAGGCGGGTTTTGCATATTATATTTCGCTGGGGGACACCGAATAAAGCTGATCATATAAGGCTGGATGAATACTTGAAAAACTTAAATAAAACATCGTCAGCTAACTATTTAAATCTCAAAAGTAGTCAACGAAAGTTTAACAGAACACAAAAGAAATTGATTGCGAACAGTTCAGATGGAAGAGGGTTTGATGTGCCACTGCTCTGTACAAGTATTAAACTGGCTTGTGAGAACGTGGCACCTTTGAATGATCCAAAATGGAACGATGAGAGCACAGAAATGGAGTTCTACATTACTTCTGTTAAGAACATGAGGAACGATGCTCTTCATAGTAAACTTGCTGTTCCTGATGATGATTATTTTAATAATGTAAGTAAGCTTAGGAAGCTGTTAACTGAGTGTTTAAAGACATCTGGAGTGCGTTATGGGAAGAAAAAGAATGATGTGGAAAAGGAGATCAAGCAGATGAAGGATGATCTGGACTATATCATGAATGAGATTCTCGGAATTGAGGACATTATAAAGTACTGCAGTGATGATATTAAACAAATAATCATAGATGATTGTTGTAATAAACTGAAGGACATCGTCCCAAAAATCACTTATGTCAGCCCAGTGTCTTTCATCATCGAAAACTTTAAATTTGAAGTAGATAAAATTTTTGTCAATATTGAAGTTAAACGTGGAAAACGTAGAGGTGATGGAGAACAAATACATTATCAAGATCTTCATACTTGCCCAGACCACATCTGTGTCAATCATCTCTGAGTTCTGCTACACAACAACAGAGTCCCTCGGAAGACCCCGGATACTCTTACTTGAAGGTCTGGCAGGGAGCGGCAAGACCACTCTATCGACGCTGGTAATAAAGGAATGGATAGACGGTGGTCAAGGTCACATCAGAGGCTTAGATAATTACGAGCTCCTGCTGTGGGTACAGTGCAGAGACACTACTATGATCTCCTACCAGGATCTCCTAGACCGACTTTTAGCAGATGTTTCAGCAAAATTCAGAAATTTTTTGCCTACATTAATGAAGCTTTGTAAGATCCTGATAGTAATTGACGGTCTGGATGAATTTAATGACAACTCTAGAAGATTAGTTACAAGTCTTATGCAAGAATTCCGAAACTCTACTTATACTACATTTTTGTGCACCTCAAGACCTGAAAAAGTAGAAATGTTTACGTTGACTATTCCCGAAGACTATGAAGTGATAAATGCTGAACTTCTAGGCATAACCAGAGAACATATGCCAGAGTTTGTACGTCGGACACACCAGGAGATAACTAAAAACAAGAAATGTCACAAAAACGTTGAAGAACTGATAAATAAGGTGATGAAGGTGAGAGGTTTTCAGAAACACTTACGACTGCCAATGAATTTAACATTTTTTGTTTACATCTGGGACCAAGAACCCGATCAGTTAGATGTAATGACCATCACTCAGACAACGCTCTACCATAAAATACATGAACTTTGTCAAAAGAAGTTATTAAAGAGATTGGAAAATTATCTACAGACAAAGACCATGGTTAAAAGTGACCTCGAGTACAGAGTTCAAGATATATTGAGTTTGATATATGTAATATCACTAGAAAGCCTCTCATGTGAACAGATGACCCTAGAAAACGTAACGGTAGAACGACTGATTTCTGCTTGTGAGAAACACTGTTTACCATCCGATGAGATACTTTCTGCGTTCTTTAGTTTGAAGCCAATTTGGACTTGGAATGGTATCGAGGAACGGTACTCTTTACCTCACAAGGGGATCCAAGACTACTTTGGTGCTCTGCATATTGTGATGACACTCAAGCACCAGCTACAGTCACCTGTGCAACCCGTCTCATCTAGCAAGCACTCCACACCACCTGCCAGTATCAGGGGTGTGTTTAAAACAGAGCATCAGAGCATCCTGGGTCGACATGACCCTGTACAATAATGTTCTGATGCATGTGGCAGGGTTGTTGTACCTGTTACTTGACCGAGTTCCTGAGGTCATTATTCAGGAAGTTGTCCATCTCCTGTACCAGTCTGGTATGAAGGGTAAGTTGAAAATTGATGCCGTGCAACCAACAACACTGAAGAAAGGTGAGGATGAGTCTTGCATGAGCGACGTGAACGAGGATGCGATGTCTAGCATGGCTAACGAGAACAAGGACTCTTCTAGCACGAGTGATGAGGACGAGTCCTCATTTAGCTTTAACGACGAGGACGACGAGGACGAGGACGACGAGGACGAAAACGAATCTGTAGTGAAGTACAAATGGATCGACCTATTAGAAAACACACGATGCAATTATGACGTAGCTAAGGCAATAGCTCCCTTCATCCACACTCAGGATATATACATTAATGATTATCGTATAGAGTGCTATACAGCTCTTCTACCACATATCAGACCATCAGAGTTACTCATTAGCATCAAGGGTGAGCCTACTTCAGTGCCTGGCTTGCAGCACCTACTGAATATTCTTGCCCGCCCCAATCACCACCGCTGCCTATCACTGGACCTGCACCACCACTACCTTCAGGATAACACAACCATCACTTCTGACGACATCCTACAACTTTTAAAACCTAGGTAAATTTCTGCCATCGTTGATGTTACTGGTGATAACATTGTGTTGACGTTGGGGGTTAGTGTTCCTGATGTCGATGTTGCAAATATTAATGTTAATTTTCACTCTATTGATGCTGTTGGTGTTTATGTTCTTGGTGATATTGATATTGATGCTTTTGATTTTTAGGTTTGTGTTGACAATGTTGGTGTTGTTTTCTGTTGAGAGTGTTGGTGTTGATACTTTTGTTGTTGATGTTGACAGAGTTGGAGTTCATGTTGACGTTGTTGATATTAAAGTTATTGATGTTAGAGTTGTTAGTGTTGATGTTTGTGACATGCTATGAGTATGTTACATGGTGTATGTCACACACCTTTATAGCCATTCCCTCCCGACCAGCAAAACCAGGTGCTAAGGCACATTCATCACCTTCAAAACTACCATTAGAAAACATCTTATCTCCCTGATACACCCCGTCAACTAACTACACGAATACCACCTGGTGGTTCACACTTACACTCACTCACCCATTTGACCATAAACAGAAATATTAATCTCAATCTTAAAATAATGAATCCTATGATACTCCAATACTGAAACTATGTACTGTGCCAAAACAAAAGCATTCACATTGCTAAACTCACAAACTAGTATTTAGTCACTTAGCCATAATACCAACTTACCTCATAATTTGTAATATTTTAAAATAAAGAATTAAACTAAGTCTGCCCGAAATGCCTAGCCATGCTAGGCGTTCTAGTGGTACACTCTGTAATCATTATTTAACTACATGTAAACCACACAACAACCAAATTCTGTAAATTCAACATTGTAATCTTTATAGAGAATAAACTTTGAATTTGAATTTGAATTTGAAGGGTATAAGGAGTAGGGGCTCCCTCGTTACACTTACACCTTGAATCAACCATTGAAGCCACACGGAACACTCGTGACTTAACCTTGGCAGACTTGCCTCCAAGCTTGGTCAAAGACGGTTCTCACCGTGTTTCTTGTTTCGTTGCCTTACTGTACATATCCTCTATATATACTGTATATACATTGCTTGCTGTTTGGTGAAGAAAATATAAGTCTTTACTCTCGCTACTGCCTTTTGTTTGTTCCTAGTTTCTACCTTGTTATCGTGCTACAACCAGTTGTGCAAGCCACTGGACTATACCTGTGTTTGTAATATGGGGGCCTGTCTGTGATTCTGAGTCTCTGTATTGTCTCAACAAACCTGTCTATAATATTGCAAACCTGCTAAATCGTTGTGTGCTACTGCTTCGTGTAGTGTTGAACGTATAGCAAATTAACATGTTATAGTGCAGCTGGGTTATGCCACCGACACATGTTAGGAGGCATGACTCACGAAATCATAATGACATGATTGCAAACAAACCATACCACGGGCGGGGATAGAACCCGCGATCAGAGTCTCAAAACTCCAGACCGTCACGTTAGCCACTGGACCAGCTGGTCCAGTGGCTAACGCGACGGTCTGGAGTTTTGAGACTCTCTGATCGCGGGTTCTATCCCCACCCGTGGTATGGCATGTTAGGAGGTTGGTGACTGAATGTACCCAACAAAACCTGTCCAGACTATTGCTCGTTTTGTTGGTATAGAGGATCAACGAACTCTCACTTCTGCACAGCTTTGTGAGTGTATATGCAACAAATTAAGGTTCGGCTCGTGTAACACGGCGTTCCAACCTGAGAGTGTAGCTGCTATGGGAACTATTAATCGCGGATCCTCGCTTCAGTACTTTCAAAATAGGGGAGGACAAACTCCGGAGCAACAGGCAAATATCCACCTTGGGAAAACAGGTGGTGAATTGGGGGGTTGTCTTCGGAGGAGTCATCTTCGTTAATATTTGAGTTGGCTAAACTCAATCTTAAGCATACTAGAGAGCAACGCGCCTTTGATAAGGAGGAATTTGATAGGAGAGGAGACAGTTTCGCCGTACTATGGATGACAATTTAAGTGTTCAGAAATCTGTGTTGCTGGTACCTCGGTTTTCTGAGTCTGAGCCTGAGTAATTATTTGAGTCTTTCGAAAATCAGACTTGAGCTTTGTGATGGACAATCGAACATTGGGCAGCACTGGTTCATGCAGCATTATACAGCAAAGTGCAGGAATTTACAGTTGGTTTAAGTGATAAACATTTCGCTAATTACAACGTTATGAAAGCAGGTTCAGAATTTACTGTATGTACTCAGTTGGGTCCGTCCCGTGTGGACTTGTTCGTGGACAGTCAAAAACGGTCACTAAATGGTACAAGTTCACCAGTATCGTGAATTTCATTGGGCTAGTGCAAATGATTCAAATTGACAATCTTCTTGAGTTAGTGGGACCGAATATTAGGGTGTTTTTAGAAAACCGTTCAGTAGCAACTGTTTTGGAGGTGGTTAGACTTGCTGATACATCAGAGGCCAACCACTCCTTTCCGAGCAGTCTTTTAACATTTCTTCCAAGCAGCCTGATATGGACAGAGATCATCATGGACAGACGTCTGAAATTCATCCAATGGTGGAAACGAGAGTTGAAAAACGACGCCTTACTCTTGCCATAAGCCTGGTTATATCAAGGCCACTTACCCCGAGATAAGTAAACCACTACACCAGTACCATTGGGAAAAAATAACTATGCTTCCTACTGAAACAAATCAGCTGAAATAAGATACCAGACCCTCTCTCAGAGGTACCAACCAGACCCTCTCTCAGAGGTACCAACCAGACCCTCTCTAAGAGGTACCAACCAGACCCTCTCTCAGAGGTACCAACCAGACCCTCTCTCAGAGGTACCAACCAGACCCTCTCTCAGAGGTACCAACCAGACCCTCTCTCAGAGGCACCAACCAGACCCTCTCTCAGAGGCACCAACCAGACCCTCTTTCAGAGGTACCAACCAGACCCTCGCTCAGAGGTACCAACCAGACCCTCTCTCAGAGGCACCAACCAGACCCTCTCTCAGAGGTACCAACCAGACCCTCTCTCAGAGGTACCAACCAGACCCTCTCTCAGAGGCACCAACCAGACCCTCTCTCAGAGGTACCAACCAGACCCTCTCTCAGAGGCACCAACCAGACCCTCTCTCAGAGGTACCAACCAGACCCTCTCTCAGAGGCACCAACCAGACCCCTCTCTCAGACCCACCAACCAGAGCCTTCTCTCAGACACACCAACCAGACCCCTCTCTCAGAGGCACCAACCAGACCCCTCTCTAAGACACACCAACCAGACCCCTCTCTCAGAGGCACCAACCAGACCCCTCTCTCAGACCCACCAACCAGAGCCTTCTCTCAGACACACCAACCAGACCCCTCTCTCAGAGGCACCAACCAGATCCCTCTCTCAGACACACCAACCAGAGCCTTCTCTCAGACACACCAACAAGACACCTCTCTCAGACACACCAACCAGACACCTCTCTCAGACCCACCAACCAGAGCCTTCTCTCAGACACACCAACCAGACACCTCTCTCAGACACACCAACCAGACATCTCTCTCAGACACACCAACCAGACACCTCTCTCAGACACACCAACCAGACCCCTCTCTAAGACACACCAATCAGACCCCTCTCTCAGGCACACCAACCAGATCCCTCTCTCAGACCCACCAACCAGAGCCTTCTCTCAGACACACCAACCAGACACCTCTCTCAGACACACCAACCAGACATCTCTCTCAGACACACCAACCAGACACCTCTCTCAGAAACACCAACCAGACATCTCTCTCAGACACACCAACCAGACACCTCTCTCAGACACACCAACCAGACACCTCTCTCAGACACACCAACCAGACATCTCTCTCAGACACACCAACCAGACACCTCTCTCAGACACACCAACCAGACATCTCTCTCAGACACACCAACCAGACACCTCTCTCAGACACACCAACCAGACACCTCTCTCAGACACACCAACCAGACATCTCTCTCAGACACACCAACCAGACACCTCTCTCAGACACACCAACCAGACATCTCTCTCAGACACACCAACCAGACACCTCTGTCAGACACACCAACCAGACACCTCTGTCAGACACACCAACCAGACACCTCTGTCAGACACACCAACCAGACACCTCTCTCAGACACACCAACCAGACATATCTCTCAGACACACCAACCAGACACCTCTCTCAGACACACCAACCAGACACCTCTCTCAGACACACCAACCAGAGCCTTCTCTCAGACACACCAACCAGACACCTCTCTCAGACACACCAACCAGACATCTCTCTCAGACACACCAACCAGACACCTCTCTAAGACACACCAAGCAGACCCCACTCTCTGAGACACCAACCAGTCTCTGATCACATAGTGATCTCTCCAAACAATATACCCAGTGTCACCTACATGCTTACAACTCTAACTCCATCCACCTATTCATAATGACCAACCGATATCCAACAACTTGGATGAAGAACACCTGTGAGGGAAAAGTTCAATAGATAGGAGTAGCAATATAGTAACGATAGTTTCATTACCGGCTACTAGTTAAGGTAGGGTAAGTCACGCTCCCGCCTTTCTTCCCCCTCCCCGAAAGTGATAGTTTCATTGCCGGCTACTAGTTAAGGTAGGGCAAGTCACGCTCCCGTTTTTCCCCCCTTTTCTCCCCCACCCCTAAAGTGATAGTTTGATTGCCGGTTGCTTGTTAACGTAGGGTCAGTCTAGCTCCAGCTATCCCTTCCCCTCCCTCTTCCACCCCTCCCCCCTCGAAAGGTGACGTGTGGGGCTCTGGTCAAACAGTAAATCACTCGACTCATAGCTCCCAACACTACTGTAAGTACATGCCTGCCTTGTATTCTAGTGGATTTATTGGTTAAAAGCTTCACTTTTGACCAATAATAAACTTAGTCCTTTCAGTCTTGCTCTGGGTTGACTGTTGTAATAATCACCACGTCTTTTGAATATTGTACACTACCATGGAGAGTGATTATTTAAGCAGTGGGTAACCTGTCTATCTTTCCAGCTTGGATGTCAGAGAGGGTCACCTGGCA